AACCTGTGCCAGTCGAACTCGCTATAATATATACAATAATAATTATATTTGCAGTTATACTAAAAATGGAAGAAGTAATTAAAAATAGAAGCACTAAGTTTACGCCTGATGAAATTTCTACTTTAATAGAAATTGTAAAAAAATATGTAGACATTATCGAATCCAAGGAAACTAATAGTACTACATGGCGAGAAAAAGATAATTGTTGGGCTAAAATAACAGAGGAATTAAATTCTCGCTGTGGAGTAAATTATCGAAAGACAAAAACCGTGAGGATAAAATATGAAAATATGAAAAAGAATTTAAAGAAAAAATTATCAAAAAACAACATAGAAATATTTAAAACTGGTGGACCTGCAAGAATACAGCCTTTTACTTCTGGGGAAGAAATTCTTCTATCTTTTTTACCTTTATCCACAGAAACAAAAGAATTGTTTTGTGCTTCTGATTGTGTCGGAACATTCGGTACATATTAATTTATATATATAATTTTAAATAATTTATAGTTTTTGTTATTATTATAATATTAATATATATTTTATATTAATATGCTTTAGATGAACAAAAGAGCTGCAAAATCTCTTCAATGGGGACAATTGTAGAAGACGATATAAATGAAAGTTCAGATATTGATAAATCTGAGTGGGAGATAAAACATGAAACACTTGATTTAGATAATGATGAAGTTAATGATGAAGTAAGACAATACTTTTCGAATATATAAAGATATTTTTAAAATTTTAATTACTCATTTATTAATACATTTATAGACAGAAAACATAGTTAATTTTATTGATGTAAAAAATTATGCAAAATGTATAAATAAAAGGCGATTATTTTCCGAAGAAATTCCTAACGCATATCTAAAAAAAGTAAAAACATATAACATCAACGATAATATTGTATGATAACATCTATTAACTTTACAATAATTTTATTTTATTTAATTACATTTAGTTTTTATACTAATTTCTAACTTCTCTATAAATTTACAGGCAGAAGATATACTCGATTCAAAAGATCTGGAAAACTGCGCTTCGAGAATAATCTCTAATTCAACAGAAAATGTACTAAAATCGGTTGCAAACAATGATATTGTCACATCAGTAAACGCAAAAGAAGAATTAGTGCAATTACAAAAAACGGCGTTAGAAATAGATATACGAATAAAAGAAGAAAATAACAATACGCAAAAAGAGATTTTACGAACAGAACTAGAAATACGTAAAGGAAAATTAAAGCTCATAAATTTAGATATACAACTTAAAGAATTAGAAGTGGAGATAAAAAAACTGCAACTTAAGGCTATCCGAGCAGAAATTTTTGATAGGCGCTGCTAGGGACCTACTAAGCATGCTCTGACGCCTGATCAGGAGCTCATTAGCCTTTGTTAGGCCCCGATACCATGAACTTAAAAACCATAAATTTAACGTCGAGAATTAAAAGAACAATCAAAGTATAACACACATTACAAAGATGCTTTGCTGAAATTTTGAAAAAACGGATAAAAAATTAAATAGAATATGTATGTGTATTATGTAATTGTAATTAAAAAATTGTAATTATAAAAAGTACTCTCCGAGATACGAGTACGAGCTGAAAATGCTTTTTAGATACTTGCAGCAGAAGAATAGTAGCATAACAAGACTATCGAGCGCCCGTTTGTTATATATTTCATATTTGCCTATGCATGTATGTGTATATATGTATATAAATTATCGATAAATATTATATGCAAATTAAAATAATTATTATTGATTAAAAATAATAAAATGTATAAATTAGTAGAATTTATTATCAATGAAATACCTGTACTTGCGAATTCATTGTTTTTATATTTATTCTATTACATAGAATAATTAAAGCACAACATTGATTAAAAAGATTTTTTTGCTACAATTTAAAAAAAAATTAAAAAGAAAGACAAAAGAATAAAAAAAGATTTTAAAATATAAAGTGTTATTATTGTTTTCTTATAAATAAAATCAAGTTCTATTCATATTCAGCTTGTACTCGTATCTCGGAGAGCTATTGCAGGAGAGACAAGGATCTGTCTATCATTGTTCTTAGTTTTTAATTTCTCCGCATGAAACCCCCAAAATCAATTCGGACTCAGACCGTCACTCTTGTCAACCCTTAAGTACACTGCCTAATGTTGAATAATACATCTTATCTGTAATAGGTGGATAAGCGTTCAATTTTGAATACTCTTCAATGACAACATTCTGTAATTTATGAATGAGATTTATTAAGAGTTATTGCACAATAATTAAAATTATAAAATATAGACATGTATAGATTAAAAAAATAATTACTTTTAATGAATGACAAAAAAATAGTTGTTTTCAAAATCTGCTTTCCTTCCACTTTTTTAACGGCTGTAAATGCCATAGCAACATCTCTCGACATATATATTTTTTAAAATATTAGTTAATGATTTTAGTAAAGGCATGCTTGTGTCGACAATTTTCCACAAATTAAGTTGCTAAAAACATAAATAAATACGTTTAAAATCAAGTATACAACACATAAGTAAATACGTTTAAAATCAAATATACAATTTATAAATGCCACGTAAGTATTTATAGAAAAAACGTCTTACAAAATCTTGCCGAAATGCAGTGCTCTTTAGATTCTTTTCAAATTGCATGAAGTCTTCCAGCGTTTTGCATGGAAATTCCATAGCATATTTTTTAGAAAATTGCAAATCAGTGCAAATTTGACGAGAAACATTCTTTTCAAGGAATACATTTTTCAACTCATTTATGGTTAAAGCCAATTGTGTTAACTGTGTATATACACTTCTGAATCCGGATGTCGTCAAGCGAGCTAAATCTATAATATAATACAATAATTAAAATTAAATATTAAATGTGGCGGCTCACCGCCACACCGCTACACTGACGCGGCATAATACGCCGCGGCGCCGCTACGCGCCGCAGACCTTATTCCGAGTTATGAGCTTGCGGATACACCGCTAGGTTGCGCAGGCGGTGAAGAGCTTTCTCGCGATCAAGCTTCGATCGAAGCAATATAAAAGAGTTTCTCCGCAGATCTTTACTCACTCACTCGCTTCAAGGCGAGCTCTCTCCAAGGGCCCTTGATCTGAGTCAGACTCTGCTTTAGCAGAATTTACCAGAGGCAAATTGTCTCGCAGTTTTTCTCACGCTGCCTCGCAAGGCACGTAAAAGGAAAACAGAGTCCCAGCATCGGCCGCACATTTCAACTAAGCGGCCCGCTGAAACTTCAGTACCGCCGTCACCTCCTCAGACTCTAGCGTGGAAGCTAATTCCACTAGAGTTCTGCGTCCGGTTGACTCGGCCACCAAGGGACACTCTAGTACCAGGCGACAGACGAATTCAGAGACCTCTCTCTCCTCGGTACACGGAGCATTCCGTAATACCGAGAGCCGAGACGGTAGCAGCCAACGGCACGCCGGAAACTCATTCAGTGGCGGTCAAAACTTCGCCGCCTAGAGCCTGCTCAGAGAGCAGTTGTCAGACGGAAAACCACTTCCCGAACGGAGTTCCACCGACGCCGGGAAAGGGGCTTCAACGAGCAGATTCAATTGAACCGTCCTTTTTAGGACCCGTTCAGTATACCAAGACGCGGCCGGTAATCTCTTACCGCGCCCGTCAATTTTTCTTTTAATTCTCGGTCTTACACCTTTACCGAGAAAGCGCCTCTGGCGCAATCAATTAATTTAAACACAACTCAAACTGTACATACTCATTCTCTGACGAGAAAAATAAATTTATATTTTTCTAACAAAATTGGTTTCTTAAAGTTTTCAACCGAGTCGAACAAATCCTTTGGGCTATACGCCCATATTAAATAATCACGCAGTAAAATAGAAATTAATAAAACTTGCCGTTAGTGATGTATTGTTTATTCTCGTCAAACAGAGAGACGGAATTGCTTCTCTCGATACAATGTTTAGTAGTGTTTGAGGCAATGTTACCGTCAATGTATTCACGTTCTAAAAACCAATAATTTAAATATAACATTATATATATTATGAATATTATTAAATTTATAAGAAGTTGTTTACAACTTTAAAGTAAATAAGAAATATTGCATTAAGAGAAAAAAATGGTTGCAATTAACTAAATATAATGTATTTTCCAACTATATATATTTTGGTAGAACTATAAATATAATTATTATTACTAACATTATAGCAGTAATAAAAATGGAGCTCCTAATCGTAATTGTAGTCACATGCAATTATAGTCACAAATACCAAACACTTTTCTTTCAATGTGTATATCATATTGGTTCATCGTTAACACACGGTAGAATATTATGGATTGTGAGAAGTAGCAAACTATTATGAAAAAATTCGACAGGAAATATTTGTAAAGCTTGTTTTTGTTAATATTTCCTGTCGAATTTTTCCATAATAGCTTGCTTTCGTTAGCTCTCAATAAATATACAGGGTGGTTATAAAGTAACTTCCCTATTTTAAAATTCTATAACTTCTAAATGGCTCGTCCGATTCTAATAAAATTTATTAGAGGTGTTCAGGGCACTAATAAATTTGGTTTCGTCGACTAGCGACGTATTGCTTTAGCTCAACGCGATATTTTTTCTAAGATTTGCAGTCTTTTATAAAACATATATCATATTTATATTAATAAAATATTTCAACATTATGTATCTGCAGAATATGATTTTTTACGTTAATGTATAAAATAAGAATAAAGTAATAAAAATTATATATCGTAATAAATTTTCTATAATAATAAAAAATTATGTGTATCGCAATATATAAACAAAACAAGTAACATTTCTATAATTTTAGTAGAAAAACATTTTCCTATTAAAACATATTAACATGAGTTAATTGCGACGAAAATAAGCTTTAAACATATTTATATCATATATGTATATTATTAATTTATTTATATGTTCCAATTTTATACATTAACGTGAAAAATCACATTATAATATCATGCATAATATCTTTTGTAAATAGCAAAATACTTTGAGGAGTAAAGGAAAGAATTGATCGAAAATAAAAGAAACATGTTTTTACTTAAAAAATATTTATGACTATCTTATTTAACACAAAAGTAATCTGGACAAAGCATACCAATGTGATTATACGTTGGATAGTTTAGTATTTTAACTTTATTTTAATCATTTTAATATAGTGGTCTTTCGCACCACGCTTGAGATTCCACTAATGGTGTGTTAGGTTTTTTCAAGTGGCCCTTCGCCAGGAGCCCTATTGTACACCACTTTTCATTTTTCTTTATACATTACTTTTATATAGATATGGTGTCGTTTGCAGACAAGATACTTGTTACATATCGTTTACAAGTGTGTCATTTGCAGACAAAGTACTTGTTACACATCGTTTACAAATGTGTCATTTGCAACTAAATACTTATTACACGTTGTTTACAAGTATGTTTCATTTGCAGACAAGATACTTGTTACACTCTGTACTAAAAGTAGCACACAATTACCTTTTTGTATCATATAAAAAATATTATTAAATTTATTTTAAACATTATTATTGCGTATTAGATGTCGAGGGACTAGCTATATCATTAACATCTGCAGCATATAGATTAAGAAGACTTTTCTGTTTTTTAGGATTATTATATACACAATGTGTATATAAGTTGTCTGTCGACATGAGAGATAAGTGCTTTTCATTAATCTCCATAAAACAGTCTAAAATAGTCTCTTTTCTAACTTTTAAAGCTGATTTCAAAACGCAAGTGGCATTTACAGAGACAGACGAAAGGCTATTTCGTTTTTTGTTTTTAAGTCTAATAAAATTGAAAACATTCTTTTTGGGTCGGCATTAGAATTTGGAGGTGATCTAACAGCATTTATAAAAGATTTGAGATTGGGATATTTATCTCAGTATTTCTGGAGTTTTCACTTTGTAAAATCTGTTTTTACATATCATCAAAATTTAATTTTTTAAATTTGTTTTTTCTGCTATTGTAAAATCTAGATGTACAATAAGCCATTCTTTCTTTAAAGCGTCTTTGTCAAAACCTCCGAGAGTTTGAGCGATAAAAGAAACATCATCCCACACAGCAAAATATATCTGAGATTTAAATCAGATATCATTTTACCAATATATTTTTGTCATATTTGAGATATCTCATTATCTGATATATTTTGAATATTTTCAGGATATCATATATCTGAAATCTCTTATGAAGTGATATTTTTGCAAAATATTTGTATACAAAAAGTTTTATAATACTTATTTTACTCTAAATATTTATAAATATATATTTATTTTATATATTTACCTTATTTATTACTTAACCATTATAATTATTCAGATTCTGCCACGCATACGCGCGAATCTGGCTCCACTTGTGACTTGTGTCGACACTGCGGAAATAAAAGTTACATTCGCCATTGTACGTGATTGTAGATTGTTAGACGTTTGACTACTTAGTGAAATCTTTGTGCATTGTCTTCTGTATCTTCATGTAAGTATTTTATTGTTATAATTTTTTTATACAATAAAATATAAAGTTGTGAATATATATACTCGTATATGTTCTTTATTTTCTTTAAAAGTATGTTTCTTTATGCTAATGAAACATAACCTAAATGTTAGTGCTATTATAATTTTTGTACGTATAATATATATCTTTTTGTTAAAATATCAATTGAATCCACACATAGCACGCATATTTATAAGATATAAGTTCAAAAGACATTTTCATATCTTTCATCATATTTCTTATCAAAGATATATCTTTGAAATCTGAATGTTTTTTTGATATACATGCTTTATAGGAGGTATATATAATTATGCCAAAAACTAAGAAATCAGTATATGCTTTGACATCTCGATATCGGAATCAGTTATTGAATCAAGCTGTTAGAAATATTAATTCTACAGCTTCTTCTTCCACTGCTAATAATGAAAAGAACGTTGAATGTATATTCGAAAGTTCTGTTTCCTTTTCTTCTTATAGTGAGATAGATCAATCAAACTTACATGACTCAAATCGTTTGGAATGTGAGCAACAAAGAAATTTTGAACATAATGAATTAGATCATCATAAGTACATCATTAAAGATTCTCTTGTAGTATCTGATTCATGTGCAATATTAAATGAGTCATCTTATGATAAATATCTTGAATTGTATGACTTATGTGAAAAATGTAGTTTATGTATATGCTTTCTTGATTGTGGAGAGTGCATTCATAATGAAGATTATTGTCAGCACTGTACAAAATGTAGCGCTGTTGATTATGACAACGATTATAAAGAGACTGAAAATTTTTATGAGGAATTTGGTACTTATTATGAAGCCGTATCTTTTCAAGATAAACTTGCACAATGGGCATTAGATACTAAAATTAATCATCATCAATTACGGTCTTTACTTACAATTTTGAATTCTGAACATCCAGAAGACAAATTACCTAAAGATGCAAGAACTTTAATGAAAACATCACTAAAATTAATTTCACTTCGAAATGTATCACCAGGGCAGTACTGGCACAATGGTCTTGCTAAGCAGCTTTGCATTTTATACAAAGATACAAATGTCGCAGAACTTAAACTAACATTTAATATAGATGGTGTACCAATATCAATATCTTTATCTAGTGATTATGGCCTATATTATGTTCAGAAAAAGGGTCTTCTACAATTTTTCCAGTTGGAATTTATCATGGATATTAAAAACCAGACTGTAGTAATATATTTTTGAGAGAGTTTGTTGATGAATTAAAAGATTTGTGTCAAAACAGATTATTTATTGATAATCGTTTAATTAGCATAAAGATTAGTTTCTTTTGTTGTGATGTTCCAGCAAAATCTTTTGTGTTAAAGATATGTGGTAACAATGTGTTCATGAAACTTTCAAATTATTGATGTGTTTCACTATGCTGGGTTTCACTTTTTTGTCTTAGCGTACACGTCTCTTCTCTTCAGTGTCGCCATATCTTCTTCGCTCGCGCCCTCTTTGCCTTAAGCGGCGATCTCCAAAATATATATATATATGAGGGCGCTTCTCACTAAAGTAACATAGAGTTCCTATAAGTAGAGTTGTGCCAATCCAGATTTTGTTCCCGGAAGCCACGTGACATTCATTGACGCGCGGAAAATTTAAAATTGTTGAATGTAGATTTGAAAGATTAATGTAGTCCTTATACATTACTTTATGTCCTTTAGACATATTAAAGTAACATCAAACTTAATTCCTTCACTGTGGGAGCAATATTGTCAAATTAGACCAAAAGTGTGTAGAAAAAACGGTTCAGTGGACATTTACAATACTTGCTATACTTATTTGCTATTTATAATATTTGTTATTTTATTTACACTTTTATGCAAAAAAGGACATGAAATCATTAAATAATGTAATATTATTTAAAAAGTTTTATTTTTTATGTACAAAATATTTTATAAATGAAAATTCACATATATATTTATACTTGCCATCTATTTGCAGTTATGAAATTCATTTTTGATCCTTTCGTATGTGTACTCTGCATAATTGAGCTCGGGTAATTTCAAACTGGCTGGTATAGATTCATGAATAAATGATTTTTCTGAAAAAATAAGAACACATTTAGGCCTGATTACACCAACATTATTTTGATTTTTATCAAGACTTAAATATGTGTCTATTTATTTATAAAAAAAGATAAAAATATACACATATTTAAGTCTTGCTGAAATCTAAACTAATGTTGGTGCAACCTGGTCTTAGTAATTCTAT